TTTAAGTTGGCAATCATTATCAATAAATACTTATGTTTTTATGTTCAGTATATTGTGTCAGGAGCTTCCACAATAAGATCAACACAGAAATCGAGTCAATACCTGGTAAGTTGAAATGTTGGGATATCTCTAGAATTGACTATCACTATGCTTAACAATAGGTCTTAATGAAAAGATGATTCAGAATAATGAAGTAGTCTACACACCCTATAAAACAAATTAAGAAATTAAGTGAAAATCTAGGATCACATAAGTTAATGGAGACAAATATGTTGCAGTAGTTAAAGTCATGATTACCTTTTGTAAAAGCTTATAAATTATAGTTTTTAGGGCTTTTTGTTTGGTATTCTACCTTTTAACATTATATGAATATCATGATTAGAAAGCATTTAATAGAACCTAATGCCTTTATATATAGRTATTATACTGCTCTAAAATCTCATTTTCTGAAAGTCAGATTGTAAACAGGATTGTATCAAAGTTGGGCATTTGTCCAGGAAAAAGATCTATCTGTGATATAGGATAAATAAATTTGATATCTGTTTAAAGTTATTGGTAAATATTCCCAGATGATTAAAACCTATGATTAAAACTTAACTCCGTTTGATTGTATTTCCACAAACAGTTTTCAKTTTCCATTACTTTTTTTTCTTCTCCTTTTTTAATTTTCCTTTCAGTGGAAACCCTTTGGTTCAAATCATGTTTTACAATCTTCTTACAACTGATTCACAAGATTGTAAAATACAATATTTTTGGTCCCCAATGGAATTGGAAGATTAATGCTTTTTATTTATTTTTTTTTTTAAGAGAGAGAGAGAGAGAGAGAGAGAGAGAATTTTAACATTTATTTTTTAGTTCTCGGCGGACACCACATCTTTGTTTGTATATGGTACTGAGGATCGAACCCGGGCCACACACATGCCAGGCGAGCATGCTACCACTTGAGCCACATCCCCAGCCTAGATTAATGCTTTTTAGTTTGTTGATAATTTAATGTTTTGTCTACATTAACTGGGTTTTGTGTAAACCAGAAATATATTTTGCATGAGCAGCAAGTGTMCAAATACTTCTAAAGCCTCACAAACTAGATCAAAGTTTTTAATTAGATGACTTTGTTTTAGCAAGACAAACTGTTTAACCAMAGTATTTATTCTGAATATAATAAATTTACCTGTCTCCTTTTCAGACGATATGGGCTTTGAYCATGAACATCTTCTCTGTAATTACTGCATTTATTGCACTATGTCTAACRGTATTTGAGTTGTCTACTTTTCATAGTGTGTCATATAGGAATTATGGACAAGCGGTAAGTGGCCTGTTGTATAGGAAAACCTTAATTTAAAAATTATTATTTTCAGTGATTTTGAAGACTTAGGATATAAAATGAGGCTTGTATTGTTCCTTTATATGGCAGTGAGGTCTTGATTGAAAGAGCTTAATTTTAAAAAATGATTCTAAGGTAATATTTTTAGTGCATATTAACAAGCCATTTGAATTCTTGATTTCCCAATTAAAATAAAGCAAGTAAAAAATATAAAGACTTCARTGATAAGTGTCTTTGAGTTAGGCACAAGGTCTCTGATGATTCWTTTCATGTAAGAAAAGCATAATCCTGGACCATAAAACCATTCCCAAAATCAACAAAAGAATTCTGCTTATGTATGCATAGTTCAAATTTTAAATGCCTAGTGATTTCTCATTACACAGAACTTTYCATAGCAACCTATCTTTGCATCTTATATGAATTTTGATTATATGAAATCACTATATTTCTTCCTAAGATATTAACTACATTTATTCCAGCTGTTCTGGCTTTAAATTTCAAATCACAAAATTAGTGCTGCAAAAGACTTTAGCAATGCTTATAAAAAAATCTCCCATTTAAAATGGGGAAAGGTTGCAGGAAGGGCTGGCCAACAGAACAAAACAAATAACAATTAAAATAATGACTATAAGARTTACTGTAGGAGAGGGATATGACTTTCTCTCCTTCCCTATACACTTCCTSTCTTTACCTGCAATATAGTATGTAGAGGATCATCAGTGGAAATAATTCAGAGAATAGAAAACAAGTGACGYATGCCTRGMATCCCAGTGGSTCAGGAGGCTGATGYGGGAAGATCGTGATTTCAAAGCCAGCCTCAGCAARAGCAAGGTGCTGAGCAACTCAGTGAGACCCTGTCTCTAAATAAAATACAAAATAGGGCTGTGGATGTGGCTCAGTGGTCAAGTGCTCCTGAGTACAATCCTCAGTACCCCTCTTCAAAGAGAAGAAAGAAGAAAGAAAGCAAGWCCGTAGAATAATAAGAAAATAATTGAAAGTACAGTAATACCCCAAAATAGATGGTGTGTAATAAATGACTTAAATAAACATGCCCAGATTTTCCCTATAAATTCTAAGAAAAATCTCCAATATCTGGTGATTCAATATATAGATAACTTCAATTGTGATTTTGTTTGCAGAGAATAAGAAGGGTGTACTTAAGTACATTCTTATTCSTAAATTTATAATCATCAATTTAAGATAATATTGCATAATTGTCAAGACCTTCTATATTAGTCTGTTTTTTCAAAGCTATAACAAAATAACTGAGACTGTATACTTACAAGAAAGAAAGGCTGAAAGTCCCAAGATAGGTAGCCCTGTTTGACCTCTAGTAAGGGCCTAATGGCAGATAATATCAAGGGAGAAAGTACCTGACAGGGTCTACAGGTAAGACATGAAAATAAAGATTGGGAAAGGCTCAGTCTTGCTCCTTTATAACAACGCTTTCACAAGATTTAGCTAGAGTCTCATGAGAACTACATTAATTCCTTTTAAGAACAGCACCTCTAGTGACCTAACAATCCCTGCCCCCATGTCCATTTCTGAAAGTTCCCTGCCACTTCTTACAATTACCAAATGAGAACCAAGTTTCCATCACATGAACCCTTGAGGGGCACACTGAAACCTTGTCCAATCACAGCATCTGTCTTTTGCAATAAATATTAAGAACCACTGTTGACTGTACTTATCTGAACTCAGTWCTAATGATTTTCCCCAAAACCACAAGTTTTATCTTTGTTTTCTGTGATTAGTTATACAAAATGAACTTGTACATTATACATACATTTCTTACCCACTGGCTTTTCCYGGTGGCATTGTTGAGTTATGTCTACATTTATTAAGATAGCCAACATTTTACAGTATTTTCACATGCCCCTTTTATAGCATAAGAAAGGTGTTTGGCTACATAAGAAAGTCATCCAAGTAATCAGTGTTCCCAGGAACACTATCATCTGTCCCCCAAAGTGCATACCTCTGAAATATGTCTCCCATATAACAACATGGATAATGGTATAGACTCCAGAACCAGATTGCATTGTTCAAATACTATCCTTATACCTGCTAGCTATGTGTATGCTTTGATGAAGATTAGCTTCCTGTTCCTTAGGATCCTTATGTGTAAACAGGAAAATGTTCTAATTCATGCCTGTTACCTAATTGTTTTGTTCTTTCTCTCAAACTCCAAGCCTATTAATCTGGTGGCTAGCTTGACTTTTTTACTTGGCTATACTTCTATCATCATCTCAAACTCAAAAGATATAMAATAGAAATTGCTTACTTACTCGAAAGTACAGTACTGTAAGACCCCCTTGTTGAAATTTTCTAGACCCAAAATCTTAACCTTGGCTGCTCTCTTTCTACTGGCTTTCCAAATTACCAAATATCATTTATTCTTTATTTAACATTTTAAAATTAKATTTCTCTTAGGTTTAAGTCTAGGAAATATAATGCAAATTGACCTTAGCAGAAAAGAGCCCTTGCTGATTTAAGCCTGGTTCATAAGCATAGGTTATATTTCAAGAACTCATATTCTCTCTCTTACTTTGCTATTTGAGCTGCTCCATCAGACATCTTGTCGCTTTAAGGGAAAAGATTGACAACAACACCAACTTACAAATAAAGGGATGTAGGCAGAGTGATTTTTTAACAGTCTTGCCAGTGAAGAGGCCAYAAATAATTTCCACCTGAAATTTTATGATTTTGTATTGCTGCCAACAAACATAAATTAGAATTAAATCCTTCAATCTTCCTAATCTTCCTGTTCATGTCATACATGATCAAACACTGTTTCATTTAAAACTTCTTTATCATTCCTCAAACATGTTAGTTTCTTGTGTTGTTTGCTTGTGTAAATACACTAGGTCATTGTGATACAACTCTATTATTCATTTTATTTTATTTCTCTGTTAATTATTTTGTCACACTTTTAACTTATTTGGGGGAGGCTATTTCTCTTTTTTCCCACTTTTTTTAAATTGGTGCATTATGGTTGTAYACACTGATGAAATCTGTTGTTACATATACATACATGCACACAATACATAATATAACAACAATATAATTTAGCCAGTATCACTCCTCTGCACTCCCGCATCTCCCACCTCTTGGCCTCTTTCCTCTACTGATTTCCCTTAGATTTTCATGAGATCYACCACATCTTTCTTTTCTTTTCTCTTCCATAGATTCCTCATGAGAGAAAACATGATGACCCTTAATCTTCTGAGTTTGACTTATTTTGCTTAACATAATTGTGTCTAYTTCCATCCATTTTTCTACAGATGCCATAATTTCATTTTTCTTTCCGACTGAATAACACTCCATTGTGTATAAATGCCAACATTTTCTTTATCCATTCATCTGTTGATGAACACCTAGGCTGATTCCATGGTTTGACTATTATGAATTGTGCTGCTAAACATGGGTATGCATGTATCACTGTGGTACGATGACACTAATTCTTCAGGATGAATACTGAAGAGTAGTAGAAGAACTGGGTCATATGGTGGCTCCATACCTAGTCTTTTGAGGAGCTTCCATACTGATTTCCATATTGGTTGTACTAATTTACAGTCTCACCAACAGTGTAAAAGTGTTCCTTTTTCCCCACATCCTCTTCAGCATTTATTATTRTCTGTATTCTTGATGACTACCATTCTGAGCGGTGTAAAATGAAATCTCAGTGTAGTTTTGASTTACATTTCCCTAATTGCTRTGATATTGAACTTTTTTCATATACTTGTTGGCTATTTGTATTTTTTCTTTTGAGAAGTGTTTGTTTAAATCATTAGCCCATTTATTAATTGGGTTATTTGATTTTTTTGGTGTAAATTCTTTCTGAAAAAAGACAGGTTGCAATGAAACAAGTAAATAAAAATTGAAACTGCCTAAAATTCTGCTTTCTCCTTYCTTTTTTCTCAGCACTACCCTTATTTCAAAGATCCTGTCTCTTTATGAAGCCTTTCTAGATACTAGTGGCTTTGAGTGAACCTCTTATTGCCTATAATTATTAAGCATATTTTTATCCATTTTGACATATTAACCTTACCATATGTGACTTATTCTCTGTCTTTTCTACTTGATTATAAACTCTGAGAAAGCAGAAAGTTTTTATTTGTCACTGTATTCTCATTATTTAATCCCTAACACTTAACATTTTTTCACATATAAAAGATATTAAATAGAACCAACAAAGAAAAAGGAGAAAGAAGAAGAGGAGGAGGAGGAGAAGAAATTGAAGGGAAAGTGAATTATGTTGCTATTTCTTTTAGGTTTGAATATCCTTATTTACATAGCTAGCACAAAGACTGCTTATTCAGGAAGAGCTCTGTTATGATTTGCATAGCTCACCCATAATGTATGTAGTTGAAAATATTTCCAGTAACATCAGAAGAGATCTGTTTTATTTATCCTGGAAGTCACAATCACTTGTGTTTTCAAGTAAAATGTTTGTTGAATTCTTTTTTAATTTGCTCATCATTCTATGCTATTACAGCAAGTATCTCTGAGAAATTTTTATCACCACAAATGTAAGTTTAAGTAAATTTGTAGTTACTAATAGCTGTCTTAATAAACAAAAATAGCTTGTTAAAAAACCTCTGGGTTGCCATCTAATCCTTAGAAATAGAAGGGCCAAATCTTACTAACTGGAGACCTTATATAGCAAGTTGTGCCAGGGACTCTGTAGTGAAGACATAAACATTAATTAAAAAGTTATAAGAAGTGTAACAAGAATGCTAAGTGATGAAGATCAAGGACRAAAGCCACATACAATGAATTGGGAAGAAGTGTAGCATGAGAAATTAAGAAGAAAACAAAATAATAAAAATGTCTAGGGAAATCACATTGGGAAAAGGTCCATTTATTGTTTTCCYTCTTTTCCTTGGTTCTTATACTACAAGCTCCTTCCATGAGCTTGTTTGTGCTTACTAAAAATAATAATGTAAGATTTCTCCCTATTTCCTGATTACAGAAACTRGGGAGGGAAGTTTCACGTATTTTATTGGCCTCGTACCTCTTGGAAATTGGTATTGCACTTGCACATTCAATCTGCTGCTGTGCACGGTTGGTAAGTGTTTACTCAGGCAAATCAAGAGATGTTAAGTTTCTAGAAAGCATACTCTGTAAGGTGATAAAGCACACTATCCAGTGTTTAGAATTAATAAAATGGAATATATTATTTACTTTTCCCCCTTCRTTTAATAAATAGAAAACATAAAATGACAAAAGCAATACATGAAACTACATAACAAAAARTATAGAGTAATTTTTTYACTTAATATAATCTGCATTATATCCACACATCCAAATCTACATAAAAATTTTTTTTACTAATTGTATGATCATTTTCTCATTATCTTGTTACATATCTTTTTTGCAACTATCATAAGCATCTTTTCATTAAAAAACACATCTAAAGAAAGCCTTCTTATAACTTATTTTTTATATATTTTGCATTCCCTTATTTACTGTATATTTAACTTTGTTCCCAGTTTTCTTAAATTATAAACAATGATTCAATGAATATTTCAATACAAATATTTTTGCAAACAAGAGACTATTTCTGRAAGTGGTAGATTCCTAAAAATGTAGGTGTAGGGTCAAGTTTAATATTCCAAAATGYTGAAATAATTCATAATACCATAGARATAYATGAGAATGTCTGTTTTCTCACAAGCTTAAAATAACTAKATACCTAACATTCATTCATGGTTTTTGCAAATATTCATGAAGAATCTACTATTTGTTAGGCTTTTTAATAGGCACTAAGGATGACTAACAAGACACTGTCTCTGTCATCAGGGAATTTGCATTCAAGTGGAGAAGAAAGATATTTATATATAAAATGGTCATATATGTGCATATATACTATATATAATCATGATAGTAAAATGTTATGAAGTAAAGGCAGAATAAGGAGATAAGGCAAAGGTATTTTACATAYGATGGTCAGGTAAGACCTAGGGACCGACTGAAGTACACAAACTGAGACCAGAAAAAGGTTTTGGGCCGTGTGTGTGTGCGTGCACACATGTGCACATATGTGTTGATATGTGTCCACATTTATAGAGATAAAAAAAGAGGACTAACATTTTTGAGAGGAAAATGTTAAGGAATAATATAATTAATGTAAAACCATATGTATGTAATCCACATAGATATGTTTAATTGGTGTGTATTATATAGAACAGTGGGTTTCATCGTGGCATATCCATACATWTATATGACATAATTTGGTCASTTTCACTCCTCAGTATGTCCCCTTKCCCTCTTCTCCCCAGGATCCTCTTTCTCTATTCTAATGGCCTCCCTACTTTCAAGAGATCTAGTTTTAAAAAAATACAGAATGAATAGGACTTACAGAATGACTAAGTAAGCACATAGCAAATATTCCTAAAAATATTCTGGAAGTTGATCAATGTATACAACAAATTATGAAGTGTTTGTGAATATATACTGGATCTAAATAAAAACTCGTTGACTCTGATATGTTAGCTTGGGGCTCACTTTGATTCCTTCARCCTCCTTGGTTTTGTTATGCAGAAATTTACCTTGGTGATTCACACTGTGAGGACCAACAGTTTGCTGCTTGARAGTTAATTTTATTTGAGGCACAACACAGAAATTTCCATGACTAGTGTAATTAAACCAATAGAGATAACAGTCACTCCTAGATTGACTGAGATTACAATATTGTTGGTCAATAAATTGACTAGCAACCAGCCAGAAACTCAACACAGAGATTCAGAGAACAAGACAGCCAACATGGGATATTTACCTTGMTAACATTATGTTTATCCCTTATGATCTGGAAGAATACAAATATGTGCAAGAGTGTGCTCACACTAAGGAAACTGGAAAGAGCTCTAATGAGCTACTCACCTCTAGCTAAAAAAAAAAAAGAAGCCATGCAAAGTAAAGTAAAAGCTGAGATAGACTTATAAGTAGCCTAAACTTTGGAAATATTCTTCAATTCAGAACGAAACAGAAGATCAGAGGACCCCACGTCGTAGCAGCTCCCTGAAACTGAACAAAAAAACCAGTTCTGCAAGGACAAATAAAGGTAGGAAGGCTATAGAATAACATTTACCCCATATGGTCTGGAAGAATATAAGTATGTGCAAGGGTATGCACACTATGGAAACTGGAGAGAGCTCTAGTGAGCTACTCACCTCTAGCTAAAAAAAAAAAAAAAAAAAAAAAAAAAAAAAATCCATGCAAAGTAAAGTAAAAGCTGCAATAGACTTATAAGAGGCCTAAACTTTGGAAATATTCTTCAATTCAGAACAAACAGAGGATCTGAGGAAACCACATTCTCGTAGCAGCTTCCTGAGTCTGAGCAAAAAATCCAGTTCTACAAGGGCAAGTCAAGGTAGGAAGGCTATAGAATAACATCTATCCCTTATGGTCTGGAAGAATATAAATATGTGCCTGGATATGCACACTATAGAAACTGGAGAAAGCTCTAGTGAGTTACCTCTAGCTAAAAACAGAAGCCATGCAAAGTAAAGTAAAAGCTGCAGTAGACTTATAAGAGGCCTAAACTTTGGAAATATTCTTCAATTCAGAAYAAACAGAGGGTCTGAGGAAAACACATTCTCATAGCAGCTCCCTGAAACTGAACAAATAAACTAGTTCTACAAGGGCAAGTCAAGGTAGGAAGACTATAGAATAACATCTCTTATGGTCTGGAAGAAAATAAATATGTGCAAGGGTATACACACAAAGGAACTGGAGAAAGCTCTAGTGAGCCACTCACCTCTAGCWAAAAAAGAAGCCATGCCAAGTAAAGTAAAAGCTGAGATRGACAATTAAGTAGCCTAAGCTTTGGAAATACTTTTTGATTCAGAACAAAATGAGGATCAGAGGACACTAAAAACTCATAAGARCTCCCGGAAAGTGATCTAAAAACCAGTTCTGCAATGGTAAATTAAGATAGAAAGACTGGGGAAACACTGGTAGACAATACAAAGCAACCAGATGAAAAACTGAAGTACTGGTTTGTAGACTATAAAAAGTTAATAAAAGGAGGCAGTACTGGTGGGCATGGTGGCTTGGTGGTGGAGGGAGCTCCCCTCCAATAAGCTGAAAGACATTCTCCCATCAGTTTTAGAGAGGCTGAGCTGGCATGGGAGAACCCTCAGCACTCTGCAGAACAAAGTTAGTGAAAACAGGGAAGTGGCAACAACTTTGGAGCCAGAGACTGGAAATCCCTGTAGTTTACCTTTATTTTCCATATTTCTCTATTTTTCCCTTTATTGCCTTGTTCTAGGCATACTTTCTTTGTGAATATTCAAGACCAATCAGTCACTTAAGCTTTATTTTTCACTGGATCATTGGGTACCCATGCACCATGCTGTGAGTCAGTCTGGGCACAGGAAGGAGACTAATATCTGGGAGAAACAGTGATTGAAGGAGCCATGACTGCTTTTCTAGGGCACTTTAATTTGAAATTGACCCTCTGAACTCTGGATAATGAACRTGGCTGACAAGGTGGAACTGGGACTGATCATGGTTAGGTAAAAAGCAGCAATTCCATGGCATCCTATTTTGGACCCTGCACCACCTCCCCCATGTCCAGAAGGATATAGAGAATAAACTGGTACATTCCACAACTGCCTACACCCCTATCCACCCACCCCCTTCCCACAGACTGATGTTCTCAGACAAAAGGGTACAAAACAATACAGATTGGTCTACAGGTACATGGTTGAAAGGGTTAGCCAACAGAGCTGACAGATTTACATTCCCATCCCTGGTCACAATAGCAACCATTTTGAGAATGAGATCTGCTCTGAATCTTATGGTACTTCACTAATCAAAGCTATAGGCAAGGAGGGAGTAGACTTGAGTACGTAATACTCTTCTTAACAAGTTTAGCCATTTTGACTCAGAGCTGACAAAAACAGAACAATAAGTCTATCAACCTTCCTCATAGCTGGGAGAGTCTAAATTCAAAACTCTGAAAAGTCAGGTCTCCAACTTTAAAATCTCAACAAAAAGAAAAACAAATTCTTTGTCAATTAATTGGGTCCTCTCTCAATACTTCTTTATTTTGCGCTTATCTCATTCTCTTCTCTCCTTTATCCTTTATTTATCTTTTGTTGCCCCAACATAACTTTTCTCTTTTTTCTTTTTTTCTATTTTTTATTCTTTCTTCCACTTCAATTTAGTACACTATCATTAATGCTTAATATTTCCAGAACATTCTATATTATTTCTCACTCTTCTCTTTGGTCAATACATTGTAGAGATCATTTAGAATAACATAGGATATGTTGATATAAAGTTTACTTTTAAATTTCCTCTGTTACTRGCAGTTATTCTCTCAAAGTTGTACTGGTGGTTGAACTTAACACTTTGATTATGCTGAAGCTAAGATATCCCCAGCCCAGGGATGATTATGAGATAACTACTCACGAAAGGACCCCCACACAAAAGGAGAAGAGGAATTCACCTCAATGGATGTACAAACATATGATCTCAGAAAACATAGTCACCTCTAATAGTTTATAACCTTCCAATAATTAAATCAAAAGATACTGAAGTAGATGAAATTCTGAAGACATTTTTTAAAAAATGTTTAAATGATCAAGGAACTATAAGAAAATCTTAAGTAATGAACTAAGGAAATACAGAATATACAGTATGTGAAAGAGCWTTTCAATAAAAATATAAAGAAACYGAAAAAGAAACAGAAATCCTGGAACTATGAGACTAAAAATCAAATGAAAAATTTAGTTGAAACTCTCATTAACAGATTAGATCATGTGTAAGACAGAATTTCAGACCTTGAAGACAAAATATGTTAACTTGAACACTCAGTAAGAAAGAAAAAAAATAATCATGATCAGAATATATAACAACTCTGGGACAACATTAAGAGACCAAACATAAGAATCATTGGATTTAAGGAAGGAATGTAGATATAGACAAATAATAATTAAAACATTTTCAGAATGTTTCTAAACATTGGGAATTAGATGKGGATCCACATACAAAGCATTTAAAACCCCACACAGAAAAGATTAAAAAAGAAGGTCTCCATGATACATTATTCTTAAAATACCAAATATATAGGATAATGATAGAATTTTAAAAGGCTCAAGAGAAACACATCAGATTATATACAGAAGTAATCCAATCAAAACAACATCTGATACCTCAACAAAAACCCTAAAAATCAGGAGGGCTTGGAACAATGTGTTTCAAACCCTGAAAGAAAATTCCTTTAAACCAAAAGTGGCATATCATGCACAACTACCTTCAGAATCAAAAGAGAATGAAAACCTTACAAKATAAGCATAAAGAATCCATGACTACTAAGCCATCATTATGGAAAATACATAAAGAAACCCTGACAGAGAAAGTTAAAATCAAATACCAGAGCTCAGGAAAGGGTGAATCTCACTGGAAGAGTAGTTAATTAAATGAGTAATAGGTTCAAATTAAACATATTTATAATAACACTGAATGTAAATAGTCTTAATTCTCCAGCCAAATAACAGACTGGCATATTGGGTTTTTAAAAACAAGGTCAAACTGTATGTTGTTGGGAAAAGACATACCTCTCTCAAGCAAAGACATCCACAGCTGAAAGTGAAAATTTGAAAATTGATATTCCACGCAAATGCAGCCCATAAGCAAGCAGGAGTAGTGACTCTCATATCTAACAAAGACGACTTYAAATTAGAAGGGATAAAGAAGGTCACTTCATACTGGTGAAGGGATTCAAGTCAACAAGATGATATAACAATAGCAAATATGCYGGAAATGAATAAAGTAAATCAAACACTACTTGAGAAAATGGCTCTCATAGACCCCAATAGAATGATACTAGGTGATTTTAAACGCTTTTCTTACCAACAGATTGGTCAGCCAGGTRTAAGTTCAGTGAAGACACTTCAGAAATTAAAAAAATATATATTACAAATTAAATGTACCCAACRCATCTGTAGACTATTTCATCCAACAACAACTGGGTTTACTTTCTTCTCAGCTGCTCATGGAACTTCTCCAAAAAAAAGACCACATTTTAGGTCACAAAGCAAGTCATAAGAAATATAAAAATATCAATATAACTAGGGTCTATTTTGAAAGCTTGTATTCCAATAAATTGGRAAGTCTTGAAGAAATAGACAAATTTCTAGACATGTATAATCTACCAAAATTGAAACAAAAGGGGACAGAAAACCCAGAATGGTGACAATCAGTGRGATTGAAGAAAAAATAAAAAGCCTTTCAACAAATGCCCAGGATTAGATGGATTCACATCTGTATTCTACCAGACCTTTAAATAACTATTGCCAATGCTTCTCAAATTACTCCAGGAAATATAACAGGGGATAACACCTAATTCATTATATGAAGCCAGTGAGATCTTGATATCAAAACCAGATAACTACACATTAAAGAAAGAAAAACTACAGGTCCCTAATCCTTAATAAAATACTAGAAAATCATATTCAAAAACACATTGAGAAGATTATACATGACTGAGTTGGTTTCATTCCAGGGATACAAAAATGGTTCAACAAAACAAATCAATAAATTTAGTTCACCACATAATAAAATTAAGCACAAAAGTGGGCTGGGTTGTGGCTCAGCGGTGGAGTGCTTACCTAGCACATGCAAGGCCCTGGGTTCGATCCTCAGCACCACATAAAAATAAATAAACAAAATAAAGGTACTGTGTACAACTAAAAAAAATCTTTTTAAAAAAAAGAACAAAAATCACATGATCATCTCAGTAGATATTTTTWAAAAATCTTTGGCAAAATTCAGCACCCATTCTTGATAAAAACATTAAAGAAACTAGGAAGACAAAGATCTTACCTAAACATCTTAAAGATTACATGGGAGCCACTATAATACTAAATGGGGGGAAACAAAGCATTTTATCTAAGATAAGCATGTATATATATACCTTTAYCTCTCCTATTTAAGATGGTATATGAAATTTTAGCCAGATCAGTCAAAGCAAGAGAAGCTTAAAAATGGGGTACCAATAGGAAAGGTASTTAAATTATCACTGTTTGCAGATTATATGATCCTGCACTTAGAATATTTACATTACTCAATCAGAAAGCTTCTAGATCTGTTGAACAAATCCAGCAGTGTAGCAGGATATATAATCAACATATGAAAATCAATAGCTTTTCTATGTACCAATAGTGAATATGCTGAAAAAGAAACTAGGAATCAATTTCATTCCCAATRGCCTMAAAAAATAAAGTATCTAGGAATAAATCTAACCAAGGAGATGGAAACCCTCTACAATGAGAATTATATAATATTAATGAAAGAAACTGGAGAAGACACAGAAGATGGAAAGATCTCAAAATTCKTTTTAGGCAGAATTAATAGTTAAAA